TATTAAAGATACGATACGATACGAATTCAGCTCGAAGTAAATATTATATTTTTATAATAATTTTACAAATTCATTGATGTAAATTACATCATGTAATGTTTAAAATCGATTAATAATAAATACAGTAGTTTAGAAATTAAAAAAAAATTGTAAAATCGATTAAAGAGAAACAATTGAGACAACTGAGAATAATGAAAGGACGAGCCATGGCAATGGCATAGACCCCATTCCTCGATCATCGAACAGTCATTTATCACATAGGTTAAAATCTATTAAGGCACTGAAATTTCACAAAATAAATAAAAATAAATAGATTTCCACAGACCGTAATATATATATCATATTTAGTTTTTCAATTTGTATTTTTAAATTTTTGGTTTATACATTTATACTCTTATATTACTTATTAATCTTATAACTTAAACTCTCGATTTAAATTAAGAATGATTATAAATTGGGTTGGATTAAATTTTTATTTTAAATTTGATCTGAATATAATATTTTTTATATGTTATTTAGTCCGAGGGGTTTAAGAAAATTTCACAAGACCTGATTTTTAAAATAAAAATATGTCTTCAATTTAACTAGAAACGTATCTATAATTCTAATTTTATTATGCAAAACATAGGCCTAATTCAAAAAATATAGATAAAAAAATATTATCTCTAAATATACAAAAAAATAAATTATATTATTATTCTCAAATCGAATAGATACAGGGTGAAATTAGGAATTTATTAAAATGAGGTTGAAGTGTTTTTTTATTTTTCATAAATATAATTTTTTAATTGAGGGGTCCTGATAAGTTTTCCTTTATTTATTTTTAGAAGTATATTTTTTTAATATTAATTAATACTTAAAAAATAATTAGCGGTGCAAGACTCCCTTGGTCTCATGATTTTCTGCCCATGGGTAGATTATTTTGCATCATAAATTTGACTCGATCTTATCATTCAACAACTATGATTTTGTCTTTTTTTTAAATGATATGATCTAAATCTAAATAAAAATAACAAAATTAGCCCTCAATATTTATAAAAATGATTATTTCGATGTATATTTTTTTAGTATTTTAATCTCAACGTTAGTTGACTAATAGACAATATATATTATTGATTTGATATTTTTAAATATAATTAATTACATATTATATGTCGCATCATTTAAAGGGATGATATGACATGTGTTACGTCATTTAAAATAATGATATGAAATGTGTTTTATTAAGTATATGTGAAAATAACATGTCAACAAATTACGTTAACTATTAATCAAGTGACGATTTTCATCAAACGTAAATTGTTTTGATCAACAATTGAAACAATACGAGCTAAAATACTTTATAAAAAGAAAAAATGAGTAAAAATAACTACTTATATAAACATTAAAAACTAATAATATCATTATACTTCTAAAAAAATTGAACATATAATATCAAATTAAGTCAAAAACACTTAAATTCAAAACGAATATCAAATCCTAATCAAAATATTTGTGTCAAATATGATATTATCCTCTATGTAATGATAGTAGTTAACATTTTCCGAAATAAACCCATTCTCAATAATTGCAGAATGAGCCTAATTAGCATGCTTCTCAAGAATTAAAAGTTATGGCTATAATTACACTAAACCAAGCTAAAATCCTCGGTCCAAATTAAATGAATGATTTCTTGAAAAATTATAAATATAGCACAAATTAGTTACGGCATCACATCAATCGGGTCTGGTCCCCCCACACGCTCACTCGAAACCCAACTGGACCCCACAATCCTGCCTTTCACGTCTCCCGATGCGCTCACAGCCACACACAAAAAAGTTTAACGCCGTTAACTTTGACGGCTTGCACAGTCAACTAAGCAAATTAAAAACCAGTCAGAAAAAGTAAAATCGAAAGGCCAAACGTCCATTCTCAGTTTCAATCAAGCATGGCTGTTTTGTACCTGAAGCTTCCAACACTTGTGTTGTTAGGATATAAATATCGGTACATTATCGGAATAATGATCATTATATAATGATAATGGTAACAACTCAAATTATAAATGTAAGATTACAATACACATAATAACATTTATTATATATGTAATTTGCGAAAAACATAAACAATATAGGTGAAAACACGGATACAATCGCAGTTTAAATCTATTACAGTGTCTTGAAGGATTTTAAGACACCGTTAAACAATGGCTAACGTTTGAGGGGATGTGTCTGCGTTTTGTCTGTAATCCATAAGGGGTTCGAATGTTGGAAGAAAAGAAGCAAAGCGAAACGCATGGCTGAAAATAGCGGCACCGCTACATCATAATATCTGTCAACTTCTCTTTTATATATTAGCAACAAACGCCACTGGTTTGGCTTGAGATGTGTGGAGAGAAACAAAGGGGATTGATTTACAGTGTCGGGTAAGAGCTTTGTTTTCTCTCTCTTTTTTATTTTGCGAAAAAGAGTGAAAGTAGTTCGGGTTTAAGGTTGTCTTGTCTTGCTCTGTTTCTTTTTTAATGGGAAAGGTGGCATTTTGAAGACATGGATACAACGAATAATGCTTTTGTGGGTAAAGATGAAGGGTCGGGAAGATCAGATCAGAGCTTCATGGTAATGAAAATGCCAATGGCTCTTCATAATCACGACCAGCATTCATCATCGTCGTCATCATCTTCTTGTTATGTTGATGGATTTGATGGAGGAGCTAGTGGTGGTGGGCCCATTGTTTGCAACACAAGCAATCAGGAACCATGCAGGGGCGATATATACGATGTTGTAGGTGCTGCTTCTGCTGCTGCAGTTGTGTTAAAGTCTCTGCACCATCACTCCTTTTCCGCTGACCCTTCTTTTGCTCATAATTTTTCCGGTAAAAGAAGAAAAAGAAAAGCTCTTTTTTTCCCTTCATCCATTATTCTTCTAATTTTGTTTTATGAAGTGATTAAAAGACTCTTTTAGATTAATGCATGGTGCTCAAAATTTAATGAAAGTAGGAGAAATGGCAGCGCCTGTGAATGCTATAGTTCCTTTCACAGCTGCTCAGTGGCAAGAGCTGGAAAGGCAGACCATGATATTCAAGTATATGATGGCATCTGTCCCTATCCCTGCTGAACTCCTTATACCCATCACTAGAAACTCTTCAAATGGTAATCTTTTTCTTCTTCTTTCGTTAGCTTTTTCTTGCATTGATTATAAGGGATCGTCGGCATGCAATTTTTGTTGCTGATAGTAGCGGTGAAGGGGTCTTTGGAATTGGGGTTTTCGAGCAATAGCTCGGACCCGGAGCCATGGAGGTGCAGGAGAACAGATGGGAAGAAATGGAGGTGCTCGAGAGACGTGGCTCCTGACCAAAAGTACTGCGAGCGTCACTCTCATAAGAGCCGTCCCCGTTCAAGAAAGCCTGTGGAATTGCCAAACCACTCATCCAACAATGATCCCAAGTCACAAACACTTAACAACATGGCATCTGATGGCACCAAGCAGCCTCATCAAACCCCACATTTTACAAGCCACAACGATGCTCGTTTATTCACATCTTCATTTGATCAATCCAGGTGGGTCTGATATAATTTTGTCCATGTTAGTATATAAATGCATGATGTGGATTTGTTGTCTTACGCGAGTTACTGTTAATGGTTGTCCCGTGAAGGTGCTTGGAGTGGTTCGTGAAAGGGGAGACCGCCGTTCCTTTTGCCAACAATTCTAACACCGAGTGGCAGCATTTCAAGGCACAAGGGACAAATTATGGGGGAAATGCAAGTGAACATCATCAGCTCAATTTGCAAGCTCAACATCTAAACGAGCAGTTTAACCCCGGTTTGGCCTCTTTGGGAGGAGCCTTGAATATCAACCAAGCACATTCACAAGAAACGAGGGCCTTCATCGATGCATGGTCAACAGAGGACAGAGAGGTTGTTCAAATGGATGGAATAGGGAGCAAATGCCGTGTTTATTCAAATGAGAAGCTACCACTCTCATCTCTCACACTGTCAATGTCAGCTGGGATCGAAAACAATCAAGAGGAAGACGATGAGAACAGTCATGAGATGGGCGGGTTCGGTTTCATGGGCTTAGCAACAGAAAATGTGAGGGCTTTGAGACCACCACCCCAAATGGCGGATAACATTTCATGGATGGGGTCGTCGCCTGGTGGACCACTGGCTGAAGCACTGTGTCTTGGCATTGCAACTAGTCAGACCACAAGTACAAGTAGCTGCAGCAAGAGCACATGAGACGTCCACCACGGCTAGTTGCAGCAGCTAGTTAACTTTGGTCTTCAACTTTATTAACTTTGATAATGTAAGAACTTTGCTAATATTGGACAAAGGGTTTTCTTAAATGGAAAAAACAATGTCGCTGTTAAGCCCAAAAGCTTATGGAATGCGATGATTTGTGAATGGCTGAATAACCTGTTTCTTTTTCGTTTTGGAAAAAAAGAGGTGTATGATTTGCTTTGGCCTCCATGCTTTTACATCCCATATAGCTCATTAACATCAGTGATTTTGAATTTGCAGTGTAGAAATATGAATAGATATGTTCAATTTCCATTTAAAATCAATGATGCTATCATTTATCATCATCAGAAGCTTGCAGAAGGAACATGTTAGCAGTCTATCACTTGTCTTTTTTATCACATTTAGAAAGTACAGTACTCTCAATGAGCAAGGAGTCTATTAATTAGCATCCTGCATCCATAAATGTTTTCCTATGTCATGGGTGTCAGAATGGAAGTTTTCTTCATTTAAACTCTTTCTCAGAAAGAATAAAAAGATAAAATTTCCATCATTCAAGTCACAAATGAAAGGAGAAACTTTTATTTACTTGTTAGTTGTTAATAGTGTTAATGATGTGAGTTTCCTTCTGATACTTTGACTGAAACTGTTTAATTTACTCACATGCTATACTATGATTAGGTATTGGGAATAGAAAAGGGCATAGAACTATTGGGCACCAATGGCATCTGAGACCACAAAATCTTTGAAATACCATAAGATTACACCACCTTTTCTAAGCACAAATAATGCATTTTAATTTCAAATCAGTCGAACAACGTGCAAAGAATGAAGACGTAGACAATAATCATGTCTCATTTCAACCACCTTAGATCGGTAGTTGAACATGGAGAAACTTCACCCCCAAAACTTTCTGTATAGGAACAGTATAGTGATTCTTTCTCCATCCCGTAGTGACCCTCAAATGCACTCTTGAAGCTAGGGCTTCTCAAGTTCTGGCTAAAGCTACTGCCAACATGGTTTTCAGGAGCTGGATATGAGAGTCTCTTCTTAGCTAAAGAACCACCTCGTTCCCTCTCTGGTGTCGATGGCCTTTGCCTTGGTGTACTCTGGGATCGCACCTTAGCCTTTGCAGACTCCGTGGCAGCCATATAATTCGGCACCGTGGTGGCAGCTGCGTTTCCATACCGATATATTCCATTTGTTGTGCAATATGTGGAAGCCAAACTAGGGGTGTTTGCTGCTGAGCTGTAGCATTTCTCTTCTTTCAAGCACCGAGGGCTGGATGAACGTACTTGCAAAGGCTTTGTCTTGCAAGGGGGTGGTGTCGGTGGAAATTGATTGAGACAGAAACCGTGGGGTTCTCTTTCCATTTGGGGAACGACCGAGTGTGAAGTGGAAAATTGTCTATGATGTTGAGAAGAGTAGGATTGGAGCTTATAACTATCTATTTCTACAGTCTTTATAGAGTCTCTTTTATCGGTTGATGCCCTGTTGTTGCTCTCCCATTGCTTTGTAGCCATCCACCGATCAAGCCATTTCGTTCTTTCTTCAACCTCCTTTTCATCTTCGCCGGATGGGTTCCTTCTCGATCTCCATATCTTATATGTTTAAGATTATTATTAGTTAAATCCATGCACTGGTTCCAATACAACTACACTCATGCACTGGTTACCTGGTTAGAGAAAGCATAAGCAAGTGCCTTCTCACGTTTCAATGCAGCTTCCCTCCTGTTCTGCAACAATACTTCGATCTCTTCACTTGTCTGTGGCATGTCTTCCCACTCATCTGTTGTACAGCTCATATCTCGGGACTGTGGCATAAAACCAACCATGTACTTGAAATGAAAAAAGATAAATGCAGTTTTTAAAAGAAGGAAAAAGTTGATTATGGCTTACTTACCATGGACTTCCGCCTACGAATATCTTGAAGATATCTAGACTCCCACAACGCATTGGTTTCATCAAACATAGACTTTCTGTACCCTTCATGTGAAAGCCTTGCACGTTGTTGATCGAGCACTCTATCTTGTACTCTAACCAAAGATTGCATGCATTTTAGTGCCAACTTTGTTTGCCTTCTGACGTTGTGTCCTCTCACTAAAGCTTGAAGCTTCACTAGCCCCTTCAGTGCACGCAATGCTCTCCTTGCCTTCACAAAAAACCATGAAAAACATAGATTACTTAGATACAGACCAGACAGTTGCAGGCTTGCAGCAGAATGTTTTAATAGTTTAAGTAACTTCACTTACTAGGTAACCTCTGAATGCTGTTTGAATGACAACAGCGGCATAGTGTTCTCTAACGTTGGCATAATTTGAAGGTCTAGAACTAAGCCTAACGATCTCAACCGCCGCTTGAGCTGTTGCCACTGCAGCTTCAGCTGCTGCAACGGCAATCGCATGACGTGTCTCTGCAAAGTCCAATGACGCATTCACAGGTACTGTGCTCTCTGCAGAAGCTTCTGTCGGTGTCTTTGCTCCACATTGTTGAACATGATTAATATTACTAGGTCTTCTAAAGAGCCATCTCCTTTTCTCCCTCTTCTGCACCACCAAATTGATTAATTACTCGAAAACAAGTATATACAGATGCAGTTAAATAACAAGCAACTACCTTTTCTTCCTCTTCCTGCCCACATTCTTCACGTCTTCTGCTACTCATTTTCTCATTATCTTTAGCCGGAGACCTGAAAGCCTTTTTCACCATCGACAACCACGAGGTAGCGGTGTTCTTTCCCATGGTCAGGTAGATGGTTGATTCCTTCAGAAACCATGAATATATTTGTAAAGGAGAGAAAGAGATAGAGAAGAGCAGATGATGTTCATTTGTTGCAGAATCTAACAGGCGGTACGAGCTCCAATATATCTGCTAAGCGGTAGGTGTTTTCTAGTGGCATGGGGAACTAAAACAAATGGGGAGAGTGTCAGATACTTTGTCACGAAAAACCAGTAAAAACACTACCATATTATATGATAGAAGATAACATGAGAAAGGAGAGACTAGAGTGTTTACTGTTCAGTTTTTTTGCATAAGAATCCAAAGTCCCTTGAAAATTGCTAGGCCTTTTCGATTGATGGGTCTTTTAAAACAACTGAACAAACCCCATTGGCTTCACGTGTTTATCGGCAGCAGCAGGAGCAGTGATTCACTAGAGGGATTAGTTTTTCTTTTGTTGTTGTTGTATTATCGACATTAACGATTCCTCGAAGACCACCAAACGTACCACCAACTTGAACAAAAGCCAAAGGGAATCACCCTTGGATGAGTTGGCTACTTGGCTCCATTTCCATGGCGGACTGGTCAAACTTGGATTCTACTGCATTGTATATAGTTTCCCAAATCGTTTCTTGTCTGTAAAACACAAGGACAAATGAAAAATTCTAACACTATCACCAACACAATTTTCATTAGATTTTTTTACAGAAAGTCGCGGTGCATGAAGGCAGGGGGCCAGTGCGTGATTAAAGGCTGGTGTTGCTGCAGTTTGCTGCTCTTGTCTTTGGGTGTAGTCTCAGCTCTCAAGTCCCCCCACATCTTTGCTCTGTGATTTCCTTTAAATGTACTTGAGTTGAATCACAATTATTGTCACATGGTTTCCTCAACTAGCTTCTGAATCGTCTCTCCGGGAATCGCAGGCAGCACTCATTTACATGCATTAAATCCTTCAAAATTTATATTCTATTTTAAGTAATGGTTTAAATGACACTGTTGACCATTTTCCATGCTATAAAATTAGATCAAGTATATAAGATGTTGTAAAATTTTAAATTTGGTGTTGAATTCATCTTTAAATCATAACTTAATACGATTGTAGTATTAAATTTTAGTTTTGTATGTAATTATATCATTAGACGGTTAAGTAATAAATAGTAAATTGTGTGAACGATAATATCTATCAAAGTGATAATATAACCAAAACGATAAAATTAATCAAACTAGCAGTACCTCACCCGCTACGCAGGGATTTTCATTTTTTATATAGTTTTAGTTTAACTAATATAAATTCTATAAAATTTTATTAATTATGAAAATTAAATCTACTGTAGTCGTTTAAGATTGAATACAAATTATAAATTAAATTGGTAAGATAATACTCGGACCATTCACTCTTTTTTAGAGTAATACGTATAATCATCGACTAGAAATGGCATTTGAAATCACAATGTCACGAATACTATCAAAAAATTATAAAATAAAAGACAAAGAAGTAGACATTGTGGAGACATAATGGACAAGAACATGCCCCGCACCATTAGTAGAGTGCCGGATAAAATGGACGTATATGTGCGGATGGGATGTCAATAATCCTTGAGGTTTAAGAAGATAGAAACTCAGCATCGAAAGGTCTGAATGCGAATCTGTCTGCTGGCGAACAATATTTTTCGATTTGTTCTTAACTTCGATATGAGGAGAGTCGAATTCCTGAGCCAGGCGAAGACCATGACAAATACAGACAAACATGACCCATGCTCATCGCGTGCAATAATGTCAAATTATAATTGATAATTAAGTTGGATTTTATTGTAATTATTTTATTAGAATAAGAATTCTTAGTGATAAAATATTTGACTCTAAATAGAGATAATATCTTAACCTAATGTATGAGAGAATTATTTTGGAGAAATGAAATACTTTCGGTATCTATAACGGATTTTAGGATACATGTGATATCATGTACTTGTACTCTTCGTATTCTCTACATCTATAATGGAGTTATGTTTATCTCGCCAGTGGAGGTACACAAGGTCAAATCACGTTAAATCTCGTGCATGTTTTATTTTATGTTGATATCGCTTTGGTTATTTTTTTCACTTACAAATTCTAACAAGTTATATCAGAGCTATGGTTCATACTTTGAAATTTTGAAGAATTTGTTCACTACAGCAAAATTGGCTTTTTGCGGCGTTTTTAAGCGCCGCAAAAACACATGCGGCGTTATGACAAACGCCGTAAAAAGCGCTGCTAAAGTTTGTGTCGTTTGTTAACGAAAAACGCCGTAATAGGTAACGATATATAGCGGCGTTTGTTGAACAAACACCGCAATAGGTATCGAGACAAACGTCACAATAGGTTTTGATATTTAGCGACGTTTTTCCCACAAACGCCACAATAGGTGTTGAGATTTAACGGCATTTTTTTATTCAAACGCAGCTAAATGTATAGTATATAGCGGTGTTTTTAGGATATAAACGTCGCTAAAGGTATGGTATATAGCGGCATTTTTAGGATACAAACCGCTAAAGGTCTGGTATATAACGGTATTTTTAGGATACAAACGCCGTTAAATGTATGGTATATTGAGGCATTTTTTTTACAAACGCCACTAAATAACATAGAATTTAACCAATTTAAAAATTATGTTTAATTACCCCAAATCTGTTTTTTCAACATGTTCCATTATCCAACAAACATGACATCAATAACATCAAACTCTATATCCATAACAAGCAACATCAAATCCAATATAATAAATAAAAGTTTTCATTAACGTAATATAAGTTCTGTTAAACACGGTTCAGTAACATTAACAGAATGCTGATAACATAAATGATACTATGATGGTGGATCGATGCATGGATATTTCGAAGTTATTTTGTGTACCGATGCACCCATAGTGCATCGATACACTCCTAAAGGAAAAGTTGAAATTTGGTTTATTAAATTAGCTTGAGTTATTAACATCAAGTTATAAGGTTTAGGCTTTTGATAATCATCTCGGAAATTATATTTATGTAGATATCGAGCCTAAACGAGTTACGGAACAATCGAAGAGTTAGGATTGAATCAAAGCAAGCAAGGCTAAGGTGGGTGCAATTTAAATTGTACTTATGTGATTGATCAAACATTGGCTTGCGATGAGCCAATGATAGAGTTATTATGGTAAAAAGTAACTTATAAAATGTTATGTGATTACTATGTGTGTATTAATACATAGAAATGGATGTATGTTATTATATGTTACATGATTTACATGCTTACGTGAAAATGCAACATATGATATATGTTACTTGATATGACATGCAAGGTTACATGAACAAATGAGAAATGATAAAAGCCATATGAAATGATCTATGTGAATACATGTATTTATGATACGTGTTATATGATATTAGATATATGTTTACATATACATGTGGTATGTGACAGAAGAGAAGGAACATGTGATTATGAGATCAATGATTACACGTACATATGATACGTGACTGAAAAGAAAATATATGTGTTTATAAGAGAAAGTATATGAATAAGTAATATGAACTGTTATAAATGATAATGCCCATGTTATGTGATATGAGAGCTAGGGGTATAGTTGGCATGCCAAGGGTCGAGGGTTTACCTATGTTCTTCGGGACATATGAACTGTTTACCTATGTTCTTCGGGACATATGGACTATTTACCTATGTTCTTCGGGACATATGGGATGTTTACCTATGTTCTTCGGGACATATGAAATGTTTACCTATGTTCTTCGGAACATATGGACTGATTACCTAGGTTCTTCGGAACCTATGGACTGGTCCTTCGGGACAATTATACGAGTTGTGGTGATAGCATAATAGTGCACAACCTCAATGTACTCACATACCTTAAGTTCTCACTGGTGTACATGGGCTAATAAAGAGATTAAACAAATATACTGAAGGTGATATGCATATGTGATTTATTATATGGAATAAATTACAGGATTCATGTATTGGTTATATGAAAGCATATATGTTTTAGTTATATGAACTGTATTACATGAAGTATATGGTGTTAAGTGTATTTCTTTATGAAATGTTTTATGATTTTTATTATATGTTTTATATGCCTTATTAAGTCGTAGACTTAGCGTGTGATTGTTTCACGCGTAGGTTCTAAGAAGAGGAAGATTGATAAGAGTTATGCAAGACAGGTCGGTTCTCCTTTCCAAAGATCAGATCAGAAAAGAAATGTATAATATACATTTTGTAATAAGGAAAGTGGTTGGCATGTAAATAAAGGATTAAATCCAATATGTTCTAATCAGTTTTGAAAAGTCATACGATTGAGGTTTGTAATGTTTTAAATGTGTTTATGTAAATGACAATTGTATAGTAATGAACGGTTAAATTTTTACGAGTTTTATGAACGTTTTACGAAAGTCACTGTAGTAGTACTATAGTAGTGCATCGATGCACAATTTGCTTTAAAATTTTGGTGCATCGATGCACTGTAGCACGGTTCATGGCACTGTTCATTACTGTTCACGGTATTGTTCATACCATATTTCACTGTTCATAAATACATTTTTATCTCAAAATTTTATACCAAACACAATTGAACAATATATGATCGTATTTTCTTAATATAAGTTCAAATGTTCAGTTATTTTACAAGAATAAAGGTTTTGAAATGTCAATGTGACATCTCGGACTCGTATCCAGGTCGGGTACAGGTTGGGGTGTTACATCTTCATCCATTTCACCAAATAAATCTCCTACCTCCGGTTCACCAAGAAGACTCCTTGCGCGGTTCAGTGCTTCACTTGAAACAGATAGCGACCCTCCACCTACAGTATAAAACTTGATTGGAGGTGGCATGGGAACTGAATCAAACATTAAAATAAATTTAAATAGATGATATAAACGTTTACTTGGAGTAATAGTAGAGGCAACATCGTCTTCATTGAGAATCGATACTGCTTTTGCAATTGATGATTCTTTCAACGCCACAGAGTTACCAAATTTGGTTCTAAACATTGGGTATTTATCCATTCCTCTATCATCGTTCTCAATAAGCTTCGAAGATCCTACATGCGTACGATCTATGAAATTTGAGTGAGCGTACAAAAAGTGAAATATAGTGGCAGAAAGATTCATAGATTATCACCTTCAAGTAGGAGATCGACCATGGAAGGGTATGGAGCAATATG